AAGGGTCACGGCACCCCCTTCTAGGGCCCAGCTTCCGAACCTCCCCAAAGACTAGCGCGACGCCCTTATCCTGGTCCCAGTTTTTATTTCTCGCATGCAGTCGTAACGACTTCATCGAGTTCTTGTCTCAGTCGGTGCATACACGGACGGCGGGCATGGCGTGGCATGGCATGAAATGGCGGCACCGGCCTCGAAGCGCGCGAAGCCATGTGCCGGAGAAGCTCAACTCGACTCACTGGAGTCCATAGACTGAGCCCATTGTGGGATTGTGGACACAGCCTTCTTGCTGGCACCTGCTTGTCTGCTTTAAAACTGGTCAATGGGGCCCGAATACCTTGACATGAGCTCCTCCATGTGGGCGTGAAACGTGGGACTGTGGATGCGCCGAAAAGATACATGTGGTGTACGGAGTAGGTGGCATGGCGGCGGCGGCGGCGGCGCGGCATGTCGTCCAATGGCACACACAGGCAAAGAGCAAGATATCGGACCCGAAAGATGAAAGAAGTGACAGGCCGAAAGCAGCGTTCCAGCTATCTGGATTGTGAACGGGCTTGCCCCATTCCGAAGCCAACACGCTATTCAGGGAATATGTTTACTTTGTAAGTAGAGTTGGCCCAAAAAGCTCAGACACCAACGATGGCCATGTGGTGATAAGTTGCGAGTTTCTAACCAGATACGGCATCATCAATTGGAAGTAACAGGCTGTACGGATAGCAGATGAGGGAAGCTCTGGGCCGTCGGCATGGTGGCTTCTCTAGCTGCGCTGCCTTTTGCCAGGTCACATCGATAATGCGCTGTGTCGGACGCCATTGGAGACGCCATACAAGGACAACAGCCTTTGATATTGTGGTGACTGTGAGATGGCGAAGCACAAAGAGATGGCGCTTAGGCATGAAAGATGTATCATGGATGTAGGCCGGGGGCCGACGGCAGCGGAAGGCATTTGCTATTGGTAGCTGAAGGCGAGGCGAGGCAAGCAAGCCAGTCCAGGCTGCAGATGCTCCGTATTACATGGGGAAATGGAAGGCTGTTTGGAAGTTTTGACGGGGTTCCATTTGCAATCGGGTTGTACTCGTCGTGTATCCGTATGTATTGCGTATTCGATTGATGGTATTGACTGGTGTCGGTAGTGGTTGTCCAGAGCGGTATGCTGGGCAAACATGGTTCTTGATGCGCCAGTGACAAGCAGATGTGGAAAATCTTAGCACATATCAATCGAGGGCGGGGCCAAAATGAGCGTCGCAACAAAAGTGCGTGCGTCCCCCCCCCCCCCCGCCGGGCCTGCCCTAACTTTTTGCTTAAAGTACCTTACGGAGTAGTCTTAATAAAGTGACCCGACCAGATCCCCAGAGAAGAGAGTTGCGCAACGCGACCAGCCCAATCAACTGGCAAGAAAGGTCGGACAGGTACTGCGGCAAAAGAGCATAAAGAGACGGCAGTGGCGCACTACATCAGAAGAGGCTAAGGCAGTGTAAGTGTACCTAAATGAATTGCGGATACACCCCGCCTGCTTCAACAGACCGAACCTGTGGAGCTAAGGCAAGGAACTGGCCTTTTTGGTCGGTGAGTGAGCCGCCTTTACTGCGTGACTGCTCCAGAGTGTTGACGCTGGTTGTGATACTCGTACCTTAGCACGGAGTACAGTCGCTGCCTATTGCCAGGACTCAGAACCAGTGAAGGGTGGCACACCTCAATTAAGGTATGTGTTGTGCCTGTGCTCCGGACTCTGTAGAGTCTGTACAAACACCACAGGAAGTCGTGGCAAGTTGCAACAGCATCACGTCGCCGGGCGTGTCAGTCAGGTCAGGTCAGGATTAAACTCAATGGAACATGCTGCTGACTTGCGCCTTACCGATCCATGCGACCTTGCGACCTTGCCTCAGCTACCTAGCTGGCTTAGGTCCTGACTGCATACTATCCGGGCAAGTGTGCTCCGGTGCTACTGCACCCAGGCAAAGGCGGAAGCCGCTCAACGTTACAGGTTCCTTTCTTATTCCATCTCAGCTGCCTTAGCACTTACACATACATACGGAGTAGCGTACCAAGGGTACTCCGGACCATAAGTTACGAATACTACGTGTTGGCGGTGTTGCACACGTTGGCAGTTGCCCGAGAGGTATGTAGGTATCTATGTATAGGTCTTTCCCGGGGTTTGCTCTTTCCCGCTGTCAATGCTGTCGTCCCTTTCCCTTGCCGCTGTTCATTCCCTCTTCTTCTTCTTCTTCTTCTTCTTCTTCCTTCCTCGGCGGGAGACAATGGGACAATGGGAAAGAACATGCACGTCGTGCGTGATCGAGGCAACCAGCCCCGCCTTTTCCTCACACACATTGAAAAGACAGAAAACAAAAAACAAAGTACCGGGTGTCGAGGTTCGAATACCTAGGTATTCAAACATGTTCAGTTTTGCTCCTGCTCCTGCTCTGCCCCACAAGCTTGCCTTCCATTGAGTTTCCTCCTCCCGTGGCCACGGAGTCAGATACCTGCGCCGTATTACTGCAGCACGGTACCTAGGTATACCCAAACTTCTAAAGGTCTAGAAAGACGGAAAAGCTAATTAAGGCAAGATACCTGTCCTCTCACTCGATTCGACCAAACTACCTAAACCGGTCGCCCGATTGTCAGCTTCGGAAGCGGGGCTCTTGCTGAATCCGAAGCCATTGGCCGTGGCTGTGATCCACCTCCGAAGCTAGGCTCTTCTCGGGGCGAGCGGCCGTGGCCGAGCGGGGCCGCATCTGCCATCTGCGATAAGCATCCTGACCCTCCTTGGTCGGGGGGTTATGGCCTTTGTCAACTGCCTTCTGAGTTCTGTCAACCTTATCAGCCACTCCATCCATAAGCTAATTACCATCTCCAGACCTCATCTCGTTCGAAGGCACGCAGGCACCAGGTCCTCGTGTTTCCCGTTGCCTCGGTCGCAAGGCTTCTTGAACTGCCAGTCTGTCCAGTGACGATGGTCACGTATGCGAATTCACAGCGTCTGCCCGCCTCTTTGGTCAACTTCATTGATGCTCAACGAGATACCCATGTCACGATCGAAATCTGCCAAGCCAACTAACCCGCGTCCACCACATTGTACCTATCGAATGTCTCACTTTTTGGCGCTCCCATTCCTTAGCCTTATGCTGAACCAAGCTGCCTCGCACAAGCTCACCTTCGAGCCGTTTGTTGATTCTCGATCAGCCACGAAACTCTTCATGAGAGTCAAATGCGCACTCGGCCGCCGCCCAGCTCGGACAGCGGCGCACCTGCCCACCACCACGAGGTTTATCAAGTCTGGACCTTCCGCACCGTCGACTTGACGACTCTAGTTCGGACGGAGTAAGGAGTGCACTTTCACGATCACCGGTCTGCTCCATTCATCGGTCAGATACGTTCAGTTGGCGTCAGCAGATAGCCAATCTGGTGCCTCCCATCCGTCTGGGCGATAGGAATCCCCCGAACCCCCCCCCCCCCCCTTCCCAAGGCCCCGAGCTTTCCACTGATTACGACTCACGTTGACATTGCCTCCCCCAATCCGACTTGGCCCACCCCCACGACTTCCAAACAGGGGGAACAACAGCACTAACGCACCACCGCCATCTGACAGACTTGAGGAGAACCGCCCGGCCGGCATCCCCGCAAAAACCCGCCAAAGACATTGACTTCAAGGTCTCATAGACGACAGACATTCTGGGAACTATGGCTCGCATTTCTTCATCGCCAGTGCAGGCCGCCTTTGCATGGTTGAACTTAATTCCAACATGCCTTACTTCATCGGTGCTTTCTTCTTTCTGCAAAAGACCGGCAATAGGGTCTCATTGGTTGCCGGCTTGTCTTTGTCTATATGTGGCTGGCTGCTGGGCATGAGGCTTTGGAAGCCGTGGCGGTAGCCTTTGACCCAGCAAAGCCAACGACAACATGTTACAGCTCCTGCTTGGCAGAGGCTACCTTCACGACATCTGATCATATACATCGCGCCCACCAAACTGCTTGCGCCGCGTCGTACGAGTTCCTCTATCACAGCAATAGTCGAGCTTGGGGGTCTGTCCTTCGTCTGATCTGGAGATCTTAGCCGAGCACAGATGCGGTGCCGTCTCGAGCTTGCGGTCACAAGTCTCCAATAGGGAATCCATCTCAGCTCATTCTGGTGGGAGATGGTACCTCGAAGCGAGGTTCGAGAGCAGCCTAATCCGTAGTGTGCCTTTGCAGTACGGTTCTAGATCACACCGAGATGAATCATCGTCGAGAAGTATTACTCCGTACCAGACAAAGAGTTCATGTGAGGACAACGAGTTCTCATGACAGCAACATCTCTGTTATGCGTCGCTTGGCATCCACGCATGTTAGTCGGGCGATTGCTGCGATCCATAATTCGGCATCAACATACTGTGACAAGCCAAGCAAATGGGCCTGTCGAAGAAATAGGCGTGTTGGAGGGTACTAACCTGGAATACGTCGCATCCAGAAAGCTGGGCGAGGCCGCAAGAGACACACGACCCATGTCCCAAACGGGCCTCGTTGCTTCTCCTTATCTGCCGGGCCCAATCTTTCTTCATGTACAGAAATGCTGAAGATACGATGACCAACGCGCCAACGCAACTTCCGCAACGGCTGCCAGGCTTGCACGTGGAGTGGGTCTCTTCTTCTCGATGCCTAATTTCTATTGCATCTATGCATCCGACCCATGGATACATTCCAAGAACTAATGTCAAAGAACTCGCCTTGGCCCCATTTCGCGGTCGTGACCGCACGGAGAATTGAGAATGGAGGAAGCACGAAGTCGCTACAAATACTGGTACTGGTATGGTATTGGAAACCACCATCTCGGATCCAGGCGTACAGAACCTCTCAGATTCGGACTATACCTTATGTCTCTGACACACATCGATTATCCATAGGTTGCTTGTAGCCTCACACACCCGTCTTCCCACGACCACCACCACCGGCGTTTCGCACCACCACTATTTACTTCGTCCGATGGCTACAATCCACTCAACAAGCTATGTCGACTCAGTCGCTCCATGGCTCCGGGACGACGGCGGCAAGCACGGCAGCGGTATTCCCAAGGCAATCCCGGAACGACGGCACAAACGGTATCCACACTACCGGACGAATTCAAGCTACCGATCACGGGAGAAGCCGAGTTCCTCGCTGCCCCTCCAGCCTCCTCCAGCCCGGGCGGGGCCGTGCCGACGACGGGGTATCCGCGACTCGCCGGGCGGGCGCGCTTCATCGAGTCATCCATCGGTTGATTCGAGACTGATGGTGAATTAAGGCAAGCCGAGTGGCGCTAAAGCCTTCACTGGGTGGTAATTTGGAGGAAACCGTCTTGTCATCCAGGCTTGCGCCTAGTGCCGTTCGTTGAGGCAGCCCATCGAATCGCCCACTTGTTAGAGAACCAAGTGTGCGGGACCCCGACCGCTCGAAATTTCGCTGTGTCGAGCCGTAGCCGGCAGACCCATGTGAGCCTTCGTCAGGAACGCCAACAATGTGCCAACTGCTTCCTCCTGGTTGGACAAATAAAGCATCGATGTTTGCGATTGACACGAGGCAGCATCGCACCCACCCTCTCGTCGGACGGCATCCGACCTCCGCAATCCCCGGTAATGGCACCAGGACCGGTGCGGGGAAACGACAGAACTTAATCCTCTCCTTGACTCTCATCGACAATCAGCGAGATCATCGTGATCCTGAGCAGCCAGGGTGACCGAGGTCGCGACTCGCCAGTCTTTGTTTGGCCCTACTTTTGCATGACACGAACGGAATTTGGTCCTCTCCCAGAGCTTTCACAGTCCACAGATGGCCACCAGAGGCGATCAAGCCCACCAGCTCCCTAGGGAGCCAGCGATATTGATGCCGTGCGCTCGATGGGTCACATTCAATTCGCATCGCGACGTCACCGATCTCTCGGGACCTAGGGGGAAACCCAATCCCGCGCAGACACGGAGACAGCAACAAGGACAGGGAGCTTATCACGCACCGCAGACTCCTTGCTCCTTTCGTGGACTGGACCTCACCGCCAAAGAGTACAGGCGTCCGCTTGTGGTTTGCGAGCGTATGGGCGACGGCGACCAAGTCATGTACTGCAGCGCTAGCGCGTGAGTAACGAAGTGAACCACTCAGCCTTTCACGCGCCCTGTCGTGGGTCGATGTGACGATGCTTACCTTATTCCAACGATGTGACGACGGCGAGAGTGCCTACCTGCCCGGAGAATTTGACGCCCTGCAGCGGCTCCTTGACGATCTCTGGGGATGCCATGTCAGGAGCAGAATCACGTCCTCAATTTGCAGTCTGCTTTACCCTGACCTGTCGGCTCTATGCGCTAATTAATTGCAGAAAAGTATCTTTTCACTGGCTCAGGTGCAAGTAGAATGTCTGGAAAGATGACGAGGCGAGCAGCAGCACTGTGACGATGATATCCGCGCAGACCCGACGTCAGCCGGCAGGGTGTTTGGTAGCAACGGCCGCTGGGACTGTCCTGGTGCCGAATACCGCCCGGAACCTAAGGTAACCAAGCTGGTTCAGGGGGAGGATCCGCCGGGCAGCACGGATGGCTACTCTGTGGTCCCACCAGCATATTCAGATGTCTTTGGCAAGGTTGGCTTTGGCAGCAGCATACGGAGTAGTTGCGAATCGGTTGCTGGCTTCTGAAGGCCCTTCTGGAATCAAGCGCGTATCAAGGAGCCACTCTCGCCTGATGATGCGGGCAACATGCGTACTGTACATCATCGATCAAGCAGGTGTAGGTGACACGAGTTTCAGTACCGGAGTAAGCTGAGGGATTGAGCATCCCGGCCAATTGGGACTGGCGGTGTAACAGAGGGATAAATGGCAATAGAATTGATTCAAGGCGTTCCGGATGATTACGGACAGCAGCGAGTTGGCCATCAGCATGGCAATGTCATAGTGCGGTAGAATCAATGCTGCGTAGGGCCATGTCGTGAGGGTATGATGCACCTCATGCAACGTGCATTGCGAATCAGCTTGGGGGATGCAGCACTGCCGGCTGCGGTGCTGTTGGTGATGATGGTTCTGAAGATACACAGACGCAGTGTGACACGACAGGCCATTCTGTCAGGGTAAGTAATGGGAGAAAGGGGTCCGGAGAGTATGTAGAGTGAGGACGGGGATTCGTTAGCAAGAGGTGTACACAGTAAGTCGTGGGCAACGATGCGAGTTGTTGGAGTCGCAGCTGCAGGTTTACCTCATCTGACGTCACTGGAGAGGAGCAGCGGGCTGGACCCTGCATATCGCCCCAAGTTGTGAAGCGAGAAGAGCAAGGCCCGTCATTGGCTGGTTGGCAAAAGTTCCACTACGACTACAACGCTTCCTTGGATCTTTGGGGGACTAGCACCGCCGGCAGCGCTCTTTCCCGCCGAGGTGCGCTACAGTCTCCCCCTTCCCGACCTCGCCTGGGAGGTACTGGGAACCGGTGCTGTGTGCTTCGAATTCCGGACCGGGTGATTCTTCAACACAAGACAAGGTCCCCTTCTCTTGCTTAGCACCATTTCCCCATGCCTCACAGCCTTCAGCTGCGGTACCTTACGGAAACTCTGCCCGCAGTGTATTTCGCAGTGTGTGTGTGGGTGTGTATACTAAGAAAAGTAACCCGACCTTCCATGTCTAGGGCATTTCATCGTATTACTCGGTAACCCGTATAATACCAAGACAATGGATAATTCCCGCGACGTGTGGCAGGCCCGTTCAAGTTCAACGGTCCAACGGCTGGCTACCGGTAACAAACATAGTAGCGATGGTACCCTGTTTTGTTCAGCCCAGGGCAGGGTTCCACTGCATTCGTCTTGAATTGTCATTTCCTGCAACAAGGGCAATGTTGGTATGTTGGTTCGCCCTTTTGGATTGTTGGCCATGAACCGCCGCCAAACCGCCATTCCCATGCTTCTAACCTTCTTTCTCCTCATGCGCTGCGCATTTCTCCACGTTGCCTTACTCGGACAGTTCGTGCCCCATCAGTTACTTTGGTACATACCGTGATACCTCATCTCAACTGTCCACTCTTCAAGTCTCGCGTGCTCCTGACTTCTCTTTCTTAGTGGCCCAAACGCAGACACTGGCAAGCTGGCACCTCCCAGTGAGGCGAAAGAGGCCCCCCCCCTCCTCCCGCATCCCGTTCCAATGGAACCTGTCTCCTGCCTCCCAGTGGACGACGCACGCGACTGGACCGGGCCCAACTTGCCAGCGCCAGCAATAGCCCCCCCGCAAAACACCAGCGGTCAGCCGATCCTCTCTGGCGTGTGACGCTATCCCAATCCCCCTCGAGTCTCGTCTCATCTCGGGCCTGCCCACGGAGTACGGCCTGCAGTTCGCCCCCTTCGCTGTCGTTCGTTCCTTTCGTCTATCGTCTTTCCAACGCTCTTTGATTGCTTGTCTTTGCTTCTACCTTACTCCCATACTGCTCCTTTACCAGCAAATCAGGTAGACTAAGCACGTACCTAGCCTACCCACCCACCTTGACACCCACCTCGCCCTTTCCCCCCCGCCCTGTGCCTCGACCCATCATGACCACCTTTGTGACTATATACCATTATATACACCATCCGACCTCCCCTTCTTCTTCCCTCCCCCCTCGACACTACCATCCTCCTGATTCTTGACATATGGCTCAATCCCGGCTTTGATATCTGCCCACCTTGCCACCTTCTCCTGCTAGCACACATCTCCCGCCACACCTTTACATCCTCTCACATCCTCGCACACCTTCTGCCCCTTCCGGCCTCCCAACCGACGATCTCGAACAATAATGGGACGCTCTCATCGCAGAGGCCCTGACTACGACCTGGACTCTTACGAGCCTTACGGTCGCTCTTACGACACTGCTGCAGACCCCTACGCTCAATATCCATCTCGTGGACGCAGTCCTGGTCCTCGTCGCCGCAATAAATCAGAACCTGCCGCACCACCGGCTGCCTATGACAACTATCAACGCGAACCAGAGCCTAGAGAACAGCCACGGGAACACCGTGAGAGCCGCAAATCACGCAGGGACGCCGTCCCGGAATCCTACGCTCCCCAACCAGAACAGAGGGAAGATCGCAAGAGTCGCAAGAACCGATACTACGACGAAGATGCCTATCAACCACGGGCACGGAGCCACGGCCGCTCCGCCCGGGAACCCCCCGCCAATGCTCACCATCGTGCCGACGACGACGCCTTCGACGCATATGCTCCGGCCTCTCGCCGCGGCCGGGAGCGTCAGCATGCCTATCACCCGCCCCGGACGAGTGACACGAGGCGCTCCAAGTATGCTGACTTTGATGCCGAGCCTCGTTATCCCGACAGACGCTCCCGTTATGCCGACTATGATGATGTCGATCCCTATAATAACGAGTCGCGCCGTTCCAAGAATGATGGGCCACGCGAGAGTGATAGACGGCGTTCGCGCTACGCTGACTACGAGGGCGTCCCCCGCGGCGGTAGCGAATCAAATCGCGGTCGTCATGTAGATTACGAGGCTGATCCCCGTTCAAATCCGAGAGGATATGCCGGTCATAGCCAGGGTGGCCGCGGTCGCTACATGAATGACTCGCCTGAGCGGTATGGCCAACCAGGCGGCGGTCAGCAACGCTCTGCCAGAGGACGGTCCATGCCTAGAAAAGGTGCAGCAGGTGGCACCTCTGGTACAGCTCGGCCTCGAGCCAAGTCAGCTGTCGGTTACGCTGCGCTGGGTGAAGCCGCTCAGACAGCCTTTAGAGTGGGAAGTCAAGCAGCTCTCCAGATGAAGAGTGAGCCCGGCCCGTGGATAGGCGAGAAAGGGACGCGGGTCGCCACGGCTGCTCTGGGCGCCGCCCTCGTCGACACATTTGTCGGTCACAAGGCCACAGGCATGAAGGGTGGCATGCGCCATCAAGCTTTGCGTCAGGCATGTGAGATGGGCATTCGCAACTTTGTCGTCCAACCTACTGTGAACACGGCGACCCGACGCAGTGGCAGTTGGGGCGGCCATGGCACTGGCAGCGGGGGAGGTCAGAGCAGCAGTGGGAGAAGACGACACTGATCATATCGAATTATCGATGTGTTGTCCGACTTATTTGAGATGCTACTTGACATGTGGTTGGGTTCCGCGATGCCCATCCCCCTGTTCTATATCTTCCCGACTCATCTCTTCCCAAACACACCAAGTCTCTCCTCTGCTTTCTTTCGTATGGCTTTTCCCTGGTTTTACGGGGGCGGCGTTATCGGATAAAGTGCTATCAAGACGGCCGGATTTTTCCTTAGTTTAGAAATGGCATGGCAGCATGTTAACGGTAGACGAGTAACGAGTCTCAACGAATCAAATGACGATGAAAATGAAAATACCATGGATGATGAGAAAAGCTCACCCTGTTGCAAATCTCCCCCGACAGGACTTTTCTGCCCTTAATGTGTACCAACAATAATGCATCTCTCCGAATTCATGCTGACATTCGACCTATCATCAACTGAAGATTGGGGGGAAAAAACGATAGAAGTTATATGACAAGATGCCAAGGCGATGTCAGGTAACAGCTTTGGCACTCCCGCCGAGTTTGAAGAGGAGGTAAGATGGAAGCGATGGGAGTTACTTGAGTTCCAGTATTGCGTTGGGTGTTCATACCACCTGAACGCAACCCTCGCGCAAACCCGATAGCCAACACCGCAGTGCAGCAAGTGTCATGTGATGAGCAAGTTTGTTCATGCTTACCACTAGCCATGCAGGATTGACGTGGCTTTAAATCATATATATGAAATAGATGGTATTAATGAACAACTAGGGTACTAAGCTTCGACTAGTTACCTGAAGATTTAGCTTGAACGACAAGCAGATCCGCCTTCACACCAGCTGTAATCAGAACACCCGCAGCAATACCCAGACAGTCCTTGATATCTTCAGACACCTTGGCAGACGCCTTACCTTCCGTCGCTTTTACAGCACTCCTGCGACCAAGCACAACCAGGTTGTGCCAGGTGACTTCTCGTGTATCTGTCCTGACGCCTGATGCGGCATAGCTTGAAGCAGCCTCCAGGGTATTGGAAGAGGAAGAAGTCTCAAACTTGATGCGCGATGCTATATTGGCAGGTACATGCGTGGTCACGAATCCGAAGTAGTCACCCTCGTGAGATTGAGAGTCTCCCCCGGCCGTCCCGACAAAGTGTACCACGGTCGCTTGAGCATTGTGCTTCTCGCACAATTGAAGCACTAGCTTGAGGGCAAGCTTGTCATCGTTGCCTCCAAAGTATGGCATGAAGATCTGATGCGACTTGTTTGTGACGGGAATCGTCGGGATATCATGATGGATGTCGCTGAATGAGTATGCTCGGGATAGCCTCTTGCGGTCGCTACTGCCGTCCGAAGTAGGTTGAGTAGCACTACCCTTGGGGAAGAAAATGCCAATGTTGTGTTCCGGGGAGTCGAGGATGGACTTTGCGAAACCGGTATATGTTGATCCAAGCTTGTTGGAACCGTCTGCCGACAGGACCTGGGTGTCGACCAGGCTACCACTCTCGCTCCAGGGGACGAGAAGAAGGTCAGAGGAGATATCGGAGGATTTGGAAAGGAGAGCTTCGGCAAAGCGAGTCTCCGGCATGATCGATACCTCCCCAGAAACGGCAACCCTGATCAATTGTCCCACAGTACGGAAGATGTTCACGACAGGGTCATTGCGACTAAAATCGTCCACCTGAGACACGGTCATGACGGAAGAATCACGATCCGTAAGATGGAGTAGGCGGAAGCCATGAGCCCGCACAGCTTTAATACCATTTGAAGAGCCCAGCGCCACAGTAGGCGACGTCATACCGCCCTTCTCGTCGCTTTCAACGAATTGGCCTCCCGAACCAGACTGCTTTCCAAACAGGGAGACCAAGTTGAGCAACGCAGGCATGTTGTCCAGTCGAAGGTACACTAACAGGCGCTGGACACGATCATTAGTCGGCTTGGTAAACTCATGGTCATCGGTCGATCCGCCGTGGCTCGAGATGGGTTCACCAGTGTCCCAGTCAATCTCACCACGCTTCCAAGCCTCGAGCTTCTTCTGGTACCAGCGAGGGTACAGGAAGGAGGTTAGAGGAGTAGTTGCGAAGGTGGTCAGAAGAGCCATGACAACGAAAATGGTGAACGTCCTGGTGCTCAGAATCCTAGCCTGTAGACCGATGTTCTGTATTCAATCAGCATCCGTCCCCCATTCCATGTCATCACGGAGCTGTGCTCAAACAAGAGCTACTTACAAGGACGATCAACTCGACGAGACCTTTGCAACTCATCAGAGCCCCGATGGAGAAAGACTCTCTCCAGACCAGTCCGTTCAACCGAGCAGCGAGACTGGCGCCAATAACCTTGGTCAAAAAGGCGGTGAACGTTACAGCAATAACGTAGCCCCAGGCGATACCGCTGTCAAGGAGACCCAGATTGGTATTCAGCCCAGAGAGCGTGAAATACAAGGGCAAGAACAGAGCACCGATCAAATCTTCCAACTTTTCAGTGACCTTGATAGCAAAGCCGTTCTCGCGGGGCAAGATAAGGCCAACCATGAAACCTCCGAAAATTGCGTGGACGCCAATGATACCAGTGAAGAAAGCCGAGGTCAGGGCGATCAACAGAATAAGCGCAATCATGCTCTGCGAAGGTCCGTTCTCAATGTTGCCAGTTCGACGTAATAGCCAGACCAAAGCTGGCCTCACAAGGTAGAACAGGAATAACATGTAACCGACACACGCGAGAAGAATCCAGAGGGCTGAAAGACCCGTTCCGGCGTTGGCGAGAGCGACACATAGGGCAAGGAGGATCCAGCCTTGTTGATGTTAGCAAAACTCAGCCTGACGTTTGAAGATGCACCGAAGCGTTACTCACCAACAACGTCGTTCGCAACACCAGCTGAAAGCACGATAACACCGACAGAGGTATCAAGGAGCTTCAACTCGGTCAGGATACGGCACAGAACCGGGAAAGCCTAGATACGATGTATTAGTCGGATGGTGATCGAAACACTACGGAGTAGGTCGTTTCTCCAGTGTGACTTACTGTGATTGCAATAGCAACACCGATGAACAGCATGTAGATTGGGAAGTCAATGTGCATTACACCCTCATCACCAGAGAATTGATTGTAGAGACCCCATGCGAGGGCGCAACCGAACGCAAAGGGTAGAGCCAAGCCGGCGAATGCTACTGAAGTAGCGACTCGCCAATTACTGACGAGGAAGCGAACGTCTGTCTCAAGACCAATGAGGAAGAGATAGAGAACAAGACCGAGATTGGCTACCAGCGTCAAGTTGGGGATCGATTCCGTAGGGAAGATGGCAGCGCGAAAGCCGGGAATTCGACCCAGCACCGAGGGCCCCAGAACAATGCCACCAATGACTTCGGCTATCACTCGAGGTTGCCGGATCTTGGACAGAGGCCAGTGGAGGAGGTGGCAGACTATAATGATGAGTCCGGCCTAAATCCAGCGAGCGACGCGAATTAGGACTTATTGGGCAGCGCTGAAGGTGGAATGCGAAACCAGAGGAAACGAACCTGGATGATGAATATGGTGATGGGATCCTTCGGATTGTAATGCGAGGGGTTTGCGCCCTCGATAACACCACCCTGCGAGGGAGCTCTGTTTCCGCCGGTGCTAGTAGGCGCGGCAGACGATGTAGCCGTCGCCGATAGCATCGATGTGATAGACGACATGTTGGCGGATTGGCTCAAATTCCTGTCCTTGCCGGTGAACGGGCTACTTTCCGAAGCAAGGAATGACGAGGCGACCAAAGACGTCTGGAAGCGCTCGACTGCGCTCTCCGATTTGAATCGATTTGGCCTTTCGTGATAAGACGAAACGGCAGACAATACGGAAGAGCCACTTCTTAAATGGAATTGCCAAGAAGATGGACACCGTCCAGGCTGTGAACACTAGCAATGGGTGGAGGGGAAGCAGGCTTAGGTACTATGGCCAAGCCAGCAATCGGTCCCGTGATATCGGTAGGCTTTGCATGTACTAATCTGACATGGTGAGCGCGGGTTGTTTTGCCTACGTTGCTTTCTCCCTGGCCGCAGCTGCCACGGGAATTGGAATCGTTGGTAGTCGACCACTTTGGTTGGTTGTACAAAAAAGGGTGGCAGATGGTGGTGTTGGAGCAAGTTAAGGGCTTTGGTCATTTGCCTTCCCGGCGGATTTAGTTTGCGACACGTGAAGATGTTTTGGAGGGGGGGAATGTGGAGGGCGGGGAGTGCGAGTGAGCAACGGTTTGTGGAGGTGGGCAGGGAGAAAGTGTGAGACTAAGGTGCCTCACTGCGTGACTGCGGTAGTTAAGCAGGGTTGGGGTGGGACCTACAGGCGTGGGAAACGGATTTATTGGTCTACCCTGATATGAAGGGAATGCAAACAAGAACGAGATTGAAGTCAGGCCCAAGGATGTGGGCTGTCACCGTCAATCGTAGAATGATTGCGATGCTGAGGTCAAACGCCTGGGGTACTACTAGGCAGGGTGCATGCCTGGATGCAACATATTACACCAGGTATTTATTCCCCCCCCAAAACTTACTATTTCGTTCCTACTCTGTTACTTTCTTGTAAGTCCCCCACTTCGTAAGAGGAAAGGTTCATAACAATGAAAGGATGAAAGAGGAACAACGTTTGCGTGATACGCTAACCGAGGGCTTACGAGTCATCCATCCCACCGCCTGTCGTCCCATCCTTGACCGCACCTCATCAACATCAAGAGAACACACCGACAGAGACGAAGACACTGGTATAATATCACCTCGTTTATCTGGCATGTTAACGTTCTGGCACCTCAAGGATCACCTACCTAGGTTGCGCACTTGCAGCTGGCACTTACTTCCATGGCACCTGACATGATGTTGCCCTGACCGTGGACAGTGCGCTGTGGGTAGTGCAGGGCCCAGTGGATCAAGACTCCAACCAGGGTCCAGGCCTGGCCTTGATTGTCTCTCCGTCTCCATGGCGCTGCATGCTGACCGCCAGTCTACAGCCAGTCCTTGGACGGATACGTATACAGGTTTTCAGCAGCAAGTCCTGGAAATTGGCGTTCGTAT